AAGCATTCCCTCAGTTATTAGGGCCAAAACCTGGAACCAGAGGGTGGGTTGCTTCAGATATCACCCTTGTGATTTACCAGAGGTGGGGCAAACAAGTATTGGAGGCAGAGAAATTTCCCCCCTCCTAAGCTTTTTACTGAACGTTGTGTCGTAAGGATGTGTTGTTTGTCAGTTAGTTTGGGGTTTTTTGGAGCCCTCCACCTCTGCTGATCGAATCAAGCCTGAACTCTCTCTGGAGGCAAAAGTATAGCAACTGAGGCTGTCCTACTTTGGGCACACGGTGAGAAGGCAGGATGCTCTGGAAGAGATAATAATGATGGGAAAGGTGGAAGGCAGTAGGAAAAGAGGAAGGCGAAATGAAAGAAGCCACAGGCATTTTGTTTACAGGAGTTGAGCAGGGCTGCTGAGGACATGGCGTTTTGGAGATGGCTCATTTTTAGGGTCTCCATAAGTCAGAAGCACATAACAACAACATGCGTTGAGCTATAACTCCTCGGCTCTTGCCGCCCCTCAGCCATCTGGAACCTAGTCTAACACACCGAGACTTGGCAGATTGGGTCCAGTGGCTCAGCGTGGGTTGCCAGGCCCCGGGGCCAGGCATGCATGGTGTGCCCCCTAACGCATAGGCTACTCTACTCAGTTAGACAAATCCCCCCCTTGACACTTAATCTCTCAGAAGAAAACGAGGAGGAGAGGAGAAAAGGCGCATAGGAATGAAGCCACCGCCTCTCCCTGGGACCCTTGCTCCCCACCTTTCCTTCTTCATCTCAGTTACCTTTCGTCTTCCCAGCGGCCCCTCAGGTGCGAAGCCACCAGCTTCTCAGCAGTGGGCAGCCTCTGCAGCTTAGCAGCCGTCGCCAGCTGCAGAAGTTGGCACCTCCATGGTGGTTATCTTTATCCGGAGCTGCTTGCCAGCCTTTCTCCTTAGCTGGCTTGCCCTGGGATTTCGGGAACACCACGCTGGGGCTGCCAATGACTCCCAGATTCTCCCCGCCTGACCACTGGACTTGGCGTGACCACCCAAGTGCCGCTTGCCCAGTTGGCACAATGGGATAATGCACCTCCACTGCCACGTCTTCTGGTCACCCACCCAAGAGGGCCATGACTCGTCTCCATGTTCCCCCTCCGGATTCAGCGCCCCAAAGAATTTGGCATCCAGGACAACAGCTCCTGTGTTCCCCACCACCACCACAAATGCTACACCACTGGCTGGATCAGACCTTCCAGGGTGGTGGATGAAGTCCGCGTTCAGGAAGACTTGGGGGACGGAAGAAGTTTTGGTAGACAAGTTGTGCAGAAGGCATCAGACAGATCGACGAGCGAGAGGAGAAAAAACACAGGGCTTTATAAACTTGGCATATGTACGTATTTCTCCATTTAGACTTTCGTTCCCATTAGCTTCAGGCAAGGCTCTTCGTTAAGAGGATGCACTGATCTTGTTTGATTTCTAAAGCTAAGCAGGGTTGGGGCCGTTGACTCTCTGGAAAGGATGGCCGCTCGGAAGTCTAGTCTCCAGGTACGGCTAGGAAAGGATCGATTTAGGTGGGGCTAGGAAAGGATCCAAATGGAAAACTTTGCTGCTCGATGGACTGGTGGCCTCACTCAGAATAAGGCCCGTTCCTTATGTTTCCGTGACAGGCATTAGCGCCCGGCAACATTGGGGAGTCCACAGGCCTTCTTGTCTTTGCTCCAAATCAACCGGGAGCATAATATCCTTCGCTGCTGAGTCTTATGAAGCTCACAATTATCCCACGGTCTTCCTGGAGCCAATTATCTTTAGTAAGCAGCCTTAGGGGGGAGGCCTTTGCTCAGAAAGGCTCTGGGTAAAGCACTTAAATTAAATTATTGTATCCATTCTGCTTGCCCAGTCTGATTCTGTAGTTTGATCGTTCATTATGTTACAGAGTGATAGATTTCTTTAAAAAAAATTAATGAGGTAGTTGGATAAAACTGGTCCTGCCACCGCCAGGTGGCTAATTACAACAAAATGGATGTTAACACTGCATGCCACATCCACGCAAGTCGGTGACCACACTGGGGTTCAGTGATAAAGAATTGAATGTTTTTCCACTATAGCAAAAACCTCACTGGGGGTGGTGGTCAATGTGTTAGCCTGCATGATCAACCTGTAAACGACCCTGCTTTAAGCCAGAGGTCGTCAACCCCGGTCCACGGCCCGGTGCCGGTCTGTGGCCTAGGCCGGACCGGGTTGCAAAGACAGACATCCCCCCCGTACACACTCCCCTCCCCACAGCTGCTTTGTGCATGTGCGCACATGCCAGCACCGGCATGAAGAGATGGGCGTGCAGGCACCCCTGCGCATGCACGAAGGGGTGGGGGAGTGCTCCCGCCGGCACTGGCAGGCATGTGGGCGCTCCCCCACCGCTTCGCGAATGCTCCTGAGAGCACGTGTGCACCTGTGGGGGGGAGCCCCCTCCTTCCTCAGAGGCTCAGCCAGTCTGCGGGTCCCAAAAAGGTTGGGGACCGCTGCTTTAAGCAGTATGGGGTGGTGTATTAAGCAGCACACTTTTGCTTCTTCCGAAAAATAGCAAGAGAGTCTTGTGCCCGCCTTGCAAATTGCAAGAGGAATTGCAAGACCTTTAGTAGACAACTGAAAAATTAAATAATTAATGCTAGCTTTCGTGAATTAAATATCACTTCTTCAGGCATGCAACAGTAATAGGTGGACGGTGCAGAAACATTATAAATGAATATACCAAAAATTCATGGCAGACGTTTTGCCAGGCATTCTCTTGAGGTGAGTTTAAAGCTGGTAGGCTTTGGGGTAGTGGTTTCATCCCTGGTGGGTTTTTTTTTTGCCAATCTTGTATTTACAGTGGTGCCCCGCATAGCGACGTTAATCCGTTCCAGGATTAACGTCGCTATCCGGATTCGTCACTATGCGGGGGGGGGGGGCCCCTAAAAACGCATTAAACTCCTTTTGGGGAAAAACTCACCGGCAAGCGAAGATTCCCCCATTCGGCCGCCATTTTCGCTGCCCGGTAAGCGAGGGCAGGGCGCAAAAATGCTACGGGCGGCCATTTTCTGCACCCGGTGGCCATTTTGGAACCGCCGATCAGCTGTTTTCTAAACATCGCAATGCAAAGATCGGTAAGCGAAACGCTTACCGATCATCGCAATGCGATGTTTAGCCTATCTAAACATCACAATGCGATCGCATTAGCGATCACAAAAAATGTGTCGCTATGTGGATTCGTCATTAAACGGTGTGCTCATTAAGCGAGGCACCACTGTATTCTGTGCTGAGTTGCTTCTAACTTAATGGCGATGCTATGAAAAGGTTAGCAGCTCAGATCCTGCTTCCTTCGGTGAATCCATTCCTCTCATATTAGGCCAGGCAGCATCTAAAAGGTTAACAAACTTACCATGTTTGTGTAAGCCATGATATGTTAGATGCAACTTTAGGTTTGTGTGTACACATAGAGTTGTCCTCATTTAAACTTTCTGTGGAAGATGGGAAGTTCTGATTTAAGTTCCTGATGTAACTGCTGCATCTCTCTCCTTTGAAGTTCCTTTTCTTCCCAATGGCTGGCTGTTCTGAGGGGAATTACAGCTAGCAAACCCCAGGAGTAGCTGACCCAACGGGGCCTGCTGCTGACGCAGGATTTGCACTCCGAGTTTTAGTCTGAACTTTACAGAATCTGTTCAAGATGCTGAACCTGTTTGGGGGACTGGTTTCAGCCCTTAGGGAGACCTCCTGTACATTTCAGGGTAACCGCTGGAGTGGATATACTGCCCCACTGGCCCTCACGAATGTGTAGTCTCCAGCTCCCCCCCCCGACCAGAGTTAATAAGGCAGTTGCCACAGTTTGTATTTTCTATATGTAATTTACCTCTGTTCATGTTTGTCCCCTCTCCCTTCCAGTAGATACTGGGTGTGTATCTGAAATTCTGAAGAAGGCTTTGATGCATCAGATGAAATGATCTGCCACCGTTTCTAGCATTTTAATTTGTTTTTAATGTTTACCTATATTTCGTATCTTTCCATAATTTAGAATCGTGCAATGCTCTGATACAAACAGAGGGGGAAAAAAGGCTTATGGAAGTTCCTGCAGGGATGAATGTGATTGGCTTTTAGTGGCGAACAGACTCTCTTTTTTTGCCTTTTGATGCAAGAGACTAACAGGGCCGTGGCAGCTGATGTTCCTCTGGAGAGCATTAGAAGGTCGGAACAGGACATCTTGCCATCCTCTTTTGTCCTTGAGGATTTTTTTTTTTAAAAAAGCTGCGCCTCCTCCTCTGCAGAGCAATATGTGGTTTGGTTTGTTGACTGTGTGTGTCTGGCAACTTTCCCCGACTGGGCTGATGTGGAGTTAGGTCTTGCTTGGGTCTTGCTTCAGTCCCAGTCTTTGGAGCTTAAGCTGTGCTGGAACTGAACAGTAGGACACAGAGGGTCCCAGAAGCATCAGGAGGTGTTGGTCTCTCTGCCTCGGTGACTGCCAAATAGCTCCCCAGGTTCTTCTCCGTTGTGCCCGATGCTGCTGCCTGGAAATGAACTGGAGTTTTGTTCTGAAATGACAGCCTTTCCCTTAAAAGACAATGGGAATCCAGTTTAGGTTGATCCACTGAACTACGAGTCCCATCAGCCTAGGCGGAGGCTGCAGTCGATCAGAACGGGAGGGCGCCAGGCTGAATTTGGCCACAGCCAGAAAGCCATACTTAAGACTGGACTTCAGAGCAAAAATTGGTGTATTTGTGTGTTCCATCTATATCCTGCCTTTCTTCCAGTGAAGGGAGGTGGGGTGTGTATGGCTCTCCTCATTTGATTCCCATTTTAGCTGCACAACAGCCCTGTACGTTAGATCAGGCTGAGAGGGCTTTGACCGTCTCGGGGTTGCCCCATATGTTGGGTGGCGTGGCATAGTCAGGATTCGAACCCGTGTCTCCCGACCGCAGCGGCTTCACCACAGTGGCTCAAAGGTAGTGGCTGTCGGAGGATATATATGACCATGGCGTTGCCCCGCTCCCTTTCCCTGCAGATGCTCCCGTCTCGGAGCTTCACGATCTTCTCTGCAAGAAGCTCCACCAGTGCTCCGTCCTCTTCGACTTCCTGGACTGCGTGGCCGACCTGAAGGGGAAAGAGATCAAGCGAGCGGCCCTCAACGAACTGGTGGAATGCGTGGCCACCAACCGTGGTATCCTGATCGAGCCGCTGTATCCTGAGATCATCAAGATGGTAAGCAAGAGGAGTTGGGGGAGCGAGACGGAGGAGGCTGATGGGTGGGGGTCAGTGGAGGCGGGAGTCCGAAAGGCGAACAGAACTTGAGAATATTTACTGATTGGTTCTCCATATTGGGATCCAAAATTTACTTTTTTTTTCCTGGGAAAATCCACCAGTCAGCACAAGCAGCGGATGTGTCATTGGGGACGTTGGGGCTTGTAGTGCAGAAAAAGTTCACGTTACTGACCTCACATTACTGGCTGAACCGCAGAAGCCTGTGCTGCAGGGTCAGAAGACCAAGCAGTTGTAAGATCGAATCCACGCGACGGAGTGAGCTCCCGTCGCTTGTCCCAGCTCCCGCCAACCTAGCGGTTCGAAATCATGTAAAAATGCGAGTAGATAAATAGGGACCACCTCGGTGGGAAGGTCACAGCATTCTGTGTCTAAGTCGCACTGGCCATGTGACCACGGAAGACTGTCTTCGGACAAAACGCTGGCTGTACGGCTTGGAAACGGGGATGAGCACCTCCTCCTAGAGTCGAACACGACTGGACAAAAATTGTCAAGGGGAACCTTTACCTTTACCTTACTGATCTCTGGGGTGTGATGAGAGCTCCTAGGCAGCTTTGCCCATACGTGTTCTCCTGAGACAGGCGTGGAGAGGAAAAAGGGGGTCCCCAGGTGCTGTAAAACTCTCCTGTGGCTGGCAGGATGCCACTGAGAGGGAGAGCCCACGGCAGCCTAGACTGGAGGCGTAAAGCTGGCATTTCTGCTTTGGCTCTCCTCTGGGCTACCATGGGACAGGTGTGGACGCGAGATGGATCTAAAGCACAAGGGTAAGCGAAAGGGCCAACGTGGAATATCCATTTTTGTATCTTTGAAGGATGAGCATTTGTATGTTGTAGGAAAAGTGGGGGGGCCCCTCCCTCTTGTCCTACTGGCATCGGGGGAAAGCGTCCCTTTTCAGCTCTAAGGGTTGGGGGTTCTTAACCCGTTGCCTGCACAGTGTCCTCGCAGGGGGTTCAAGAAGGCTTGAAGAAATGTTACGATATTTTGCAGTTAAAATGGAAGGAAGGAAGGATGGATTCAAGATGGAAGGAAGGAAGGACAAATTCTCAATTTCTTGCTTGTTTGCCTAAAACTTGGCTTTTCTAACCTACCAACTCCATTAAAAACAAAATCAAAATTCAGTTATGAAAATAACTATTTGATAGCAAATAACTGTTTGATATTTCCGCACATGGTGAGAACGTTTTAAATTTCTATGGAATTTTTCCAGTAAAAATATTATAATAGGTGTGCATTAACAGATTAACTCATTTCTCCCTTCTCTCCAAAATTTGAAGACCCTTCATGGGAAACTTTAAATATTTGATGCACTTTCGGTTTTTAAGTCTCGAGTTAAGTCTTGGAGGTCTAAAGCAACAAAAATATTGGACTTTAAATATTTGATGCACTTTAGGTTTTTAAGTCTTGAGTTAAGTCTTGGAGGTCTACAGCAACAAAAATATTGGAAGGGAGTCCATGGTAAAGAAAAGGTTCAGAACTGCAGATCTAGAGAATGCTGTATTTAATGGTTTTTAATCTTGGTTTTAATGTTGATTAACATGTTCAAGGTTTGGGTTCTTATCTATAAAGCCCTTGATTGTCTGGGACCTCATTACTTATTGGTGCAGCTTTCCCTAAGAGCATCCCCCCCCCTCGACCCGATCTTCGTAGACCATGATCTTACAAATGACCACAGTAAGGGAGGCCAAGAAGACACACACTAGACTTCTGGCCTCCTTAGTTGTGGCGCCGTTCTTATGGAGTGGACTTCCAGTAGAGCTACGTCGGGCCTCCTTCCTCCCAGCTTTCAAGAGGATGCCCAGAACAAGGGTGTTTACAGAAGTTTTTAAGGATCCCCCCCAGGGTACAGTCCTGACCCAGTGCTTTTCAACATTTTTATTAATGGATGCAGAGAATGCTAATCAGATTTACAGAAGACAAAAAATTGGGTAGGATAGCTAATAACCTGGAAGACAGAAACAAAATTCAAAACGATCTGGATAGGTTTCAGCGCTGGGCTGAAAACAACAGAATGAAATTCAGCAGGGATAAATTCAAAGTACTGCACCCGAGGGGGGGGGAATCAAACACACAGTTTCAAGATGGGGGAGACGTGGCTCAGCAATACTACAAGCGAGGAGAATCTTGGAATTGTTGTAGATCACAAACTGAAAATGAGCCAACAGTGTGATGTGGCTACAAAAAAGGCAAATTCTATTTTAGGTTGCATTAACAGAAGTATAGTCTCCAAATCCCACAAGGTACTAGTCCCCCTCTATTCAGCACTGATTAGGCCTCGTCTTGAGTATTGTGTTCAGTTCTGGACACCACACTTCAAGAAGGATGCAAACAAATTGGAACAAGTTCAGAGGAGGGCGACAAGGAGGATCAGGGGGTGGAAGCCAAGCCATAGGATTGAAAGAACTCAGGATGTTTAGCCTTGACAAGAAAAGACTGAGGAGAGATATGATAGCACTTTTTACAAACTTGAAAGGCTGTCATACAGAAGAGGGGGAGATGAGTTGCCGGAAGCCTAATTTCGGTTAAATATCAGGGAAAACTTCCTAACTGTTAGAGCAGTACAGCAAGGGAACCTATGACCTTGAGAAGCGGTGGCGAGTGCTCCAACCCTGGAGGCGTTCAGGAGAAACTTAGACAACCACCTGTCAGATCTCCTTTGGTTTGTATTCCTGCATTGAGCAGGGGGTTGGACTTGATGGCCTCACAGGCCCCTTCCAGATTGATTATTCTGTGATTCTATGAACATCCCCTGAGCCGCCATACATTTGTCCCACTGTTCCTGCCATAGTTTTACGTTAGATTTTAGATATGATATCAGCTTTATTGGATTAGAGTTTTTTTCTTTGTTTATTACTGATGATTTGCTAGTTAGTATTATACTGTTTGGCTTTCCTGTTGATTCTAAATTCCCCAGAGTAATGCCTGGCACTAGTTGGGTGGTATACTGGATGGATGGATGGATGGATGTGTTTTTTTTAAATACATGTTTTTGAATCTAGGTTTTTTTTTTTTTTACTATTTTAAAACTGTGAGTGTTGTATAGTTTTAGTGGTTGTGAGCCAATTTGGCTTCCCTGGAGGAGAAAGGGGTGACATAAAAATAAAATAAAAATTTGTGCACAGAGGTTTCGGAACGGGGAGCTTGAAGGCCTCACAAGCAGAGCTGATACTTTCGCCTTTCTCGCAGATTTCGGTTAACATTTTCCGGACGCTCCCACCCAGCGAGAACCCTGAGTTTGACCCTGAAGAAGATGAACCTAACCTGGAGCCGTCTTGGCCACATCTCCAGGTGAGACGCTTCTGGGGGCCACAGCAGAGAAGACAGGGCTTGCTTGTCTGGCCCGTTTGGGCCCCTTTGCAGGGATGGGAGCCATTTCCCAACCTCCACCTTTCGAAGGCTGGCATGGCTTTGACGATCTTTGCCTTTGTGCTGGAAGGGGAGGGGCAGGGAGGACAGGAACATCTCTGGGGAGTTGTTGAGGCTGGTGGCGGCGGCTTCATGGAGCATCTGTCTATCCCCAGCTGGTGTATGAGTTTTTCCTCCGGTTCCTGGAGAGCCCAGACTTCCAGCCCTCGGTTGCCAAGCGCTACATAGACCAGAAATTCGTGTTGATGGTAAGTCAAGGAACGGAAAGGGGAGGAGGGTGAGCGGGGGGGACGATTAGGCCTTGCACCAATGTGTGATTCTCCAGGCTTTGGTTTGGATATTCCAAAGTGAGTCTTCGGTTTGGAGTGCTCATGCTTGGGCTTGTCTCACGTGGAGCTGACAAGGCTTGTAGCGAAGTGTGTGAGACAAAATGAAGTATCGTATTTTTCGTGTACAGTATAAGATGCCCCCATGTATAACCCAAAATTAAGAAATCTAAGTGGGGCTTAGCAAGTGTAGGGGGAAAGGGATCAAAGCGCTGCAGGATCGCTTTGATCCCTGCTTTCTCCTCCACTTGTTTTTGTTTTCTCCTCAGCTTACTTCCGTGTATAAGACGACCCTCAATTTTTAGTCTTAAAGATTTTAGACAAAAGTATAGTCTTATACATGGAAAAATACGGTAGCTAAAGCAGCAGTGGGAAAAATAACATAGAATGCAATAGTATTTATTTATTTAATTTTTATACCCCCTTCTGGCCAGTATATAAGAACTGATTTGTTCGCTGTCAGGTTAGTTCTGACTTAACAGCAACCCTTTCCAGGGTTTTCGAGGTATAGAATATTTAGAAGTAGTTTCCCATCCCCTTCGTCTGCGGGGCGGGGGGGCAGTATCCTGGGACTGCAGCTTGCCCAAGGCCACCACCCAGGCTAGCTATACTCCCAGGAGGTCCAGTGGGGGAATCGAACTCATAACGCCAGGAGGCCCAGTGGGGGAATCGAACTCATAACCTCTGGGTCCACAACCAGATACCTAACTCACTGAGCTATCCAGCCATCTGTAGAATGCATTAGTGACAAGGAAATGAAGAAGCATGACGATGTAGATATAAGGTTTGGGTGCTGCTGACCTTTTCCTCCACAGGTCTCCCTCTCTGTGTTTCCCTTTCCATTTGTTTTGTATCTGTGCGCTAGGCTTCATAATTTATTCACCAATGTCATTCATTTTATTCATGAGTTTTGTTCATCAATTGTTAATTTCATTAATATTTTGTTCATTATTTATGCCACCACAAAGCTCACGGGTTGGAAAGAAGCTCCACCGCCTCACCCTTTTTTGAACTGAGGCCTGGGTGATTCCATCCCAAATCAATTGGTGGAAAACCTTATTCCTAAAAGAATGTAAAAGAAATGCAATGGTGCCTCGCTAGACGATCATAATCCATTCCACTGAAATCGCTGTTTAGCGAAATCATTGTCTAGCGAAAAGCATTTCCCCAATGGAATGCATTGAAATCTGTTTAATGTGTTCCAATGGGGAAGAATCGTCGTTGTATAGCGAAGATCGGCTATAGGAAAGCCGCTTTGCGAACCGCCGATCAGCTGTTTAAATCGCGGTCTTGCGAAGCTTAGGTCCCGAAAACACCTGTTTTGCGAGCGCGGAGGAAGCTGTCAAAATCGTCGTCTAGCGAAAATCGGTTTGCAAAGCAGGGACCAAACATTGTCCAGCGAAATTCCCCCATAGGAATCACTGTTTTGCGAATCGCTATAGCGATCGCAAAAAGTCAATGTCTAGCGAAAAAACTGTCATGCGGGGTAACTGTCTAGTGAGGCACCGCTGTACAAGTTTTGCCAAGGAAGCACAACACTGTTTATGCAAGAGAAGCCCCATCTTGCTTGTTTTCCTCATTTCTTAGCAAAATGTGAATTTGAATTTAGTGTTGTGACCTCCAAAGTGTCCATTAACAGTCCAGCTCAGATCTTGTGAACTGAAGTCTGGCTTCTTTTATTGAATCAGTCCATCTCTTACACAGTTTTGAATTTAGTGTTGTGACCTCCAAAGTGTCCTGTTATTAACAGCCCAGCTCAGATCTTGTGAACTGAAGTCTGCCTTCTTTTATTGAATCAGTCTATCTCTTACACAGTTTCCCCCTTTTTGTGTTGCCTGCCACTTTGCCCGGCATTATACCGTATTTTTCCATGTATAAGACTATACTTTTGTCTAAAATCTTTAAACTAAAAATTGAGGCTTGTCCTATACACAGAAGTAAGCTGAGGAGCGAACAAAAACAAGTGGCGGGGAAAGCAGGGATAAAAGCGTTCCTGCAGCACTTAGATCCCTTTCCCTCCACCCTTGCTAAGCCCCGCTTAGATTTGTTAATTTTGGATTAGAAAAGTAGGGGGGCTTCTTATACATGGGGGCGTCTTATACACAAAAAATATGGGTAGTCTTCCTAACTGTTAGAGCAGTATGACAATGGAATCCATGACCTTGAGGGACGTTAGAGGCGTTCAAGAGAAATGTAGACAACCACCTGACAGATCTGCTTCGACTTGGTTTACTGCATCGGGCAGGGGGTTGGACTCGATGGCCTTATAGGCTACTTCCAATTTTATTATTCTGTGATTATTCTATGATACAGTGGTGCCTCGCATAGCGAGGTTAATCTGTTCCGGATTAACCTTTGCTATGTGAAAACTTCGTTAAACGGAAAGTAAAAAGCCATTGGAACGCATTAAAACTCACCATTTAGCGAAGTCTTCCCATAGCCGGCAGCCATTTTCGCGCCCTTGGTAAGCAAGGGGAGGGTGCGAAAACGCTGCGCGCGGCCATTTCGGCTGTTCTGGTGGCCATTTTGGACCCGCCGAACAGCTGATCCGCGGGTCGCAAAGCGAAGGTCGGTAAGCAAAACGCTTACCGACCTTCGCTATGTGAGTTTCGCCCATTGGGGCCATCGGTAAGCGATCGCATTAGCGATCGCGGAAACCGCATCGCTATGCGATTTCGTCGTTATACGGTGTGCTCGTTAAGCGAGGCACCACTGTATCTTTAAAACCCCATAATGAAACAGTCCAAAGTGAAACAAGGGATAACACTGAAAGATGAGACCCGTAATGGTGTTGCTCCATCCAAATGCAAACTGGAAAAGTGTGGATCATGTTTGGAGAAAGGGTCAGATAAAAGTATCTCGGGTTGGTGGTTGGAGATGAGTTACAACAGTTGGTGAGCCTCTCATTGCTGGATTCACTTTTTGAACAAGGCATGTTGGCGATAGCTTGGGGAGCTAAACGGGGTAATCTTCCAACCCAAAGTTGGCTAACGCTGTGGTTGCCTGTACATTTCTGGCTACAGCAGAGGCAAAAACAGTGAGTTGAACGTGGAAGGTATAAAAAGGAGAGTATAGTTTTGTGCACTGATTTTTTTTTAAAGTTGTGATTCGTAAACTTTCCCTCATAAGAATAAATAGCCCGGTGCTGTATTAAAGCCTAACAAATCTATTTCAGCAGGATCTCTTATGGATTGTCACTCACTTCGTGAGATGCAAAAGGGTGGTCATTCAAAAAGTACATACGTGTACAGTACATGTGATTGGGAGCTAAGGATTACCGACAGTCAGTTCGGAGGGAAATGAAAGCCAAGGTACCGAAAGTAGCAATTGTGTTATTAATAGCAGTCTTCACGAAGCAGTTACTGATAACATACGTAAACATGCTAGAGCTAGGTAAGCCAATTAGTTTATGGAGATAAGCCAATTGATGCTGTAATGGTGACGCATTATCGGCCATAGTTTTGTGAATGGCCAGCATCAACGATGGTGTTGACAGGTCACAATGTTTTGTGTTAAATTCCTTGTTGAGATCACAGTTTCCAGGTTTTTTCCCCCTTTGGTTGCTGATTGCACTTCTTTGCTGCCTTTCTTACAGCGATGGGACTCAAAGTGGCCTTTTAAAAAGACAAGAATTGAAAGCAACAGACAAAAAGTGATTAAGGATTGCTGAATAGCTCAGTGGTCTAGGTATTGGCTGCAAAGCTAGAGGTTGGGAGTTCGATTCCCTCCACTTGAGCCTCCCTGACGGGCTGGACCTGATGATCTATGGGGTGCCCCCTGGCTCTGCAGTTCTAAGAGGGTGATGATGATTAAAAATTATTTAAAAAGGAAATTGTTGAACAAATTCCACCAAGAACTATGCCTATACCTGGAATTCTGAGTAATATTTTCCCTATCTAATTAAGTAGATAATAGTCCCTCCAAATCCCAAATAACAAGATTAATCTCCTACAAAATTCTTGTTTGTTTTTTGCTTGTAACAGATTAATGTGACTGCCTCTTTGGAATCCCTTTTTCACCCCTAGACAATTTGAAGTTTGTAGTGATCTCTGCCGATGAGTATTCTAATTTCTTACATCAGATTCATTTTTGTTTTAATAAGATTTTTTTTTTTGCAGTGTTGTGGGAACCATTGAATGAGGATCCTAGGACTTGAGCCAGACTAGGGTGTTTTTTTAATCAGTTAAACATCCAGGGCAAAACTTGCAGAACAAGGACCTCCTCTGCTCCAGTTTTTTGGGTTTGGGGGCAGTTCTTTCTCTTAAAAGGATTTTGTTGCTTCTGAAAGAAATGGTTTGCAAGTTGAAGGATGACAAAGCCCTTCCCCTTTTTGGACTACAACACACAGCATCCCCTGAGGCTTCTGGGAGGTATAGTTGAAAAGAGAAAGGACAAGCTCTTTCCTGGCCTAAGTTAGGCTGCTTGATCAAATGTGCATTGGTATATCTCTGGCTGTTTGTATTGGGATGCTGTGCTTTAGATTTGAGAGGGTGAAATCCTGTTGCAGTGTTGTTGTTTTTAAATGCACGCAGAAAGCAAAGGGAGCACTTTTCACTCCCTTCAGACGAGTAATAAAAAATTCATCATCATGATTCTTGAGGCTGCTCACACCCACTGGCTTGGTACGGACTTCAGAACTGGGGGCTTGTTAATTGCCGCCCTGAAGCAAAGTAAATGTTACACTTTTTGCCTCCCACATATGTAAAAAAAGAGGATTTCAGTCATCGTGTTATGTTCAAATCGTTATCACCTGTCAGTGTTTTGGACTCCTTTGTTAACTATTGCTATATGATAATAATCTGTAACAATGTATTCGCGAAGGCTTTCACGGCCGGGATCTAATGGTGGTTATGGGTTTTTCAGGCTCTTTGGCCTTGTTCTGAAGGTTGTTCTTCCTAACGTTTCGCCAGTCTCTGTGGCCGGCCTCTTCAGAGGACAGCACTCTGTGCTCTGGTGCAGTTTGTTAGGAAGTTGAGTATTTATGGCTGTGATGTCAGTTTTTGTCCTTTTCAGGAGATGGGTGATTGTGGTGATCAGTGTAATCTGTAATATTAGAACTGCAGAGCTAGAAGGGACTCTGTGGACCATCGAGTCCAGCCCGTCAAGGAGGCGCAGCGGGGAATCGAACTTCCTGCCTCTGGCTCCATAGCTAGATACCTGAACCCCTGAGCTAAACTGCTACTTCTTCTCCCCTTCCATTCCCTTCAGCTCCTTGAACTCTTTGATAGCGAGGATCCCCGGGAGCGCGAATACCTCAAGACCATCCTCCACCGTGTCTACGGCAAATTTCTGGGCCTGCGAGCTTATATCCGCAAACAGTGCAACAACATCTTTTTACGGTGAGCTTTCTGGTCTCCCCCACTTTGTGCTTGGCTCTGGAGGCGTGGACTGAAATCCCATCGCTCCGTTTCTGCTCCCATCGCATTCTTAAGTCAGAAAAAGAAAAGGGGTTGGAGGTACATGGGTGGCTTGATCCAGAGCTAAGAAGCAACCAGTTGCAAGTGTAATTAATTACTCTTTGCACTAACCAGATCAGAATAAGTTTGCCCTTTGCTTTTTCTCTTCTTCCCAAACTAGGGAGAGGTTATTTTCCTTTTCTTAACTTATCTTAGGGAGAATTAGGCATTAGTTATCTTTTTCCTTGATTTCGGTCCTTGGTATCCAAGCGCTTTCTCGATCTGCAAAAGGGAAGGAAAAGAGTGTTGGTAGCAGGGTGGTACCCAGTGACTAAATGGCGTCAGGACTCACAGGGTGAATTTCTTTTTTCTGAGGAATAGGGACAGTGACATCCTCCAGCACCTCCTCAGGTGGCGGAGGAGAATGCCCTTTCTGCTTAGCAGAAGTCCTTGCAGTAGCTGGCACAAAACTGGGTTTTCCTTAGTGCACCTGCAAAGTATTTGGGGGTGGTTTAGTTTTGATTGCGTAATAAAGAGCCATTAACTGTACAAAAGACCTACTCCTCATTTCTTGTATCAGTTGATCCAGCAGCCTATGATTTTGGATTCTCCTTTGTTTCGCAATGCTGTAACCAGGACTGGCCAGGTTGAGCACCTGCGGCACCAGAGGATGCTTTGATGATAGTGGTGATGGTGAAGATAGTGATGACATGATGATTCATACCTTTTATCTTTCTTTCTCATCCCATATGGCCAGATTTATCTATGAGACAGAGCATTTCAACGGAGTGGCAGAACTGCTGGAGATCCTGGGAAGGTAAACCGCATTTTGATATTGTGGGAGTCAGAGTCCTACAGTGGTGTTTAGGGGATGGATATTCACAGACAGTCCTGTGTATATGTTTTTTAATGTCTGCCATGCCCCGCTGTTGCCATCAGTCCACAGAGGTGGCTTAACATTCCCTTGCTAACGCTCACCTGGGAAAAACCAGGCCTTACCTAGGCCTTACTCTGCCCAGCTTCCTGTGCAGAAAGAAAGCTCCCAGCTGCCACCGGGGCAGGAGGACGAAGCGTGGGTGGAGCTAGGCCTAGCTCAGCCTCGGAATCTTTGGGCGAAGGCCTTTCTCCCAGCTGTCCGTAACACGTGTAAGTCAGGTAGAACTTCTAAAATGAAGGAAGATGGGATTTATGTTCTGAGAAATTAAAAAAAAATCCTGTTCCTTCTGAGAATCGTATTACAAAACCTAGAAATCGCCTATTCCTAGGTTAATTGCACTCTGATTTGTTTATTAGTCCGGGAATTGGAAATTACGTAAATGCTTCTTTTAAAACTGTGAAGGAAAGCCTTGAGCTCTCGAATCATAGAGCTGTAGGGCTGGAAGAGGCCCTCCCAAAGGTCATCTAGTCCAACCAGGACAGATTTCCTCTGCTAAAGCATCCCTCATCATCTTTCCCTGTTGCCGTCCGCTCTTCCCACTCCCTTTAACCAAGCTGCTGTCTTCAAATTGGGCTTCTTTTTAGGTGCTATGAGTGCAAATCCAAAGTTTAGACAGAATGGCAACGGGGGAAGGGGAAATCATCATCATTTTGCCCCGAGTGTGATCACCTCCCACCTCCAGGAACTGCAAATAGGAGCCTGTGGCTTTCTGTTCTCAGGGGAGGGAGAAGGAAGTCTTAGGATTATTCCAAAGCTTATGTCTTGTGACCTCTGTAGAGGTAGGAAATCTGCTGCTGCTGCATCATCCTTGACAGGAGGCCAATCAGCCTCTGCTCTGCTTAAAAACTGGCTTCACTCCCCATGTCACACCTTATTGATTTCTCTTTAGCATTGACACGGAGACGGGCCTTCCCTGTGGTGGAACACACTCCTCAGAATTATCTCCCTTTGGCAGTAGAATAATATCTCACATAGCACAGCCCAGTTTAGTGCTGTGTCAGGAAATTGGATTATTCCTGCACTTTCTATACTCCCATGAGTTTTTTTTTAACTTGAAACCTGGCAAGTTGCCACTATGCTGATAACTAGAGGGGAGGGTTCCTTATGACGTTTCGCATTTTCTCTGCAACCTGCATTTGAACCCATAAACAAATTCAAACATGTTTATGAGTAATCTGGCCTTTCTCACCAGATTACTCATAAACCTGTTCAGACCCACCCATAAGCTCAAATGTAGGCTGCAGGGGAAAAAATACATGTCAGAAATCCTTCTCCTACTGATAACATGATTGTTATGACTAACATTTTTACAGAGTTTGGAGGAATAAAGGCTGGTAGCATAAAAGATCTAGATCCTCCAAAACCTGGAAAACCAGGACATTAGAATTTTAAAGAGTGCAAATTATAAAATCTGTATCCTTCGTTTATGTTTGGTTTTATTTGCAAACAAGTTAAACTGGCAGGATTGTTATGATAAAGTGACCTTGCTCAGCTGGAATGCACTCATTGTTTTCCAATGGTTATGGTAAACTGTTACTCAAATCTCAGTTTTAAAAGTACTTAAATTCTCAGGTCTGATTCTCCTATAACGGCCTTTATTATTTTAACACTATATCCATAGAAAAATTTCATATCTTGACGTCTGGTTTGTTATCGTGTGCATAGTTGGGCATCTGTTTCGTGGTGCTTGACCAGAGGCCCAGTAGTGTACTTGAAGGAGGTGGGCCGGGCCTCTGGAAGACCTGCGGCCCAGTCTAGTCACTCTGTTGCAGAGGGAGACTTATGCCATGAGAATACCATTTTGTGGAACATACCCTGAGCCCTCCCTGGGTTATGGCTGTAGACACAGGGATGTTTCAAATGCCAATTTAAAACACACCTCCTCACTCTGCCTCCCTGCTTTGACAGTCATGAGCTGTTTGAAAATTTATTTGTTGCTGTGTTTTTAATATATATATTATTAGAGTGGTCTAATATGATCAGATAGGCGGGATAGAAATAAAATAAATAAATAAAAATAAATAAATTAGTTACTTACTAAGAAAAAAATGATTGCAAGATTGTACTAATGCTTCAGTCTCACTATTTGCTTTCCATTGATCTCATGGACTCTAACCCGCCTTCCTTTATTGGGAAGGCGGGTTATTGGAAGCAGAGTAATTGGAAGCACAGTAAAGTGTCAGGGAGAAAACTCTGTGTCTGTTCTGCCATAATAGAAGAAAAACAGATGATGAGTTTTTGAATGAATACTTTACTTTCAGGCAAACTTCCTAAAAAATACTGGCTGAAATCCTATTCGCACAGTTATGTCACACAGGTATGCTACACAAAGCTGATGACATCAGCCACAACAATTGTTAGGAAATAAAACATTTCCAACAGCTTCTGTCATCTAAATGACTAATACTAGTTTTAGAGCTGAGGGGATTTTTATTTGCCCTGAGAAATAAAAATTTACCCTCTAGAAACAGAAGGTTGGCGTGGTCTCCATTCAATTCTCCATTTGCCCCTTGAAACTGGCTTGATCTTAGCCGGCTTTGCAGTAAAGCCATCCAACCCTCCCTGGAAGAGAGGCAGAGTCTATGCCGGCTGGAGAGCTTAACGACAGAACCGGAGGTGGGGAGTTCAATTCCCGACTGTGGAAGAACCGGCCCATGGGCTCTCTGCGTCAGTGGTTCCCAGCCTTGCATCCCCAGGTGTTCCTGGAATTAAACTCCAGGAGTTTTATTTAATTAAACGAGACAAACTAAATTTCACTGTTTTACAACTGGTGCTGTCGGGACCCAGCAGGAACCCAGCGTTGCCAATTTCTGGGTCTCTCTTTGCTTCCTTCCTTCTCCCAGTATAATCAACGGCTTCGCCTTGCCCTTGAAGACCGAACACAAGCAGTTCTTAGTGCGGGTCCTCATCCCGCTTCATTCGGTGAAATCCCTCTCCATATTCCACGCTCAGGTGAGCTACGCGCAGAAGCATCGGCCTCTCGGGCTGCTAACAGTCACGAAACTATTTTCAGGGTGGGGAGCAGCTGGGGGTGAAATGTCTACGATAGGGTGGTTTAGGGCTGGGTCCTGCAGTTGGGGCTGCAGAGGGAAACGAGGGGGGGCAGGAGAAGTTTTGGGAGAAAGGCAGGGCCTTGGGTCCTGCTTTTTCAGACATCATACATCAGTCTGGCTTCTTAAATTCTTTCCATCCTGGATATGTGATTTGCAGGTTTAGGTAATTCAAAAAACAGACGGAAATGATATCGCCCCCCCTCCATGTGTGCCTTTCAAAGTCAATAGATCTCAATCTTACAAATCTTTAAAATGAGGAGCCTCTGAGAGAGGGGAGGGGAGAGGTGAAAATCTTGATTTGGAACGGAGAAAATGTACAAATGCTGGCCAATTCTTTTGAAAGGCATAGAAACAAAAGCTCTCGGCTTGCACTGGCCAAACGCAAGAACTGCAGCCATTTTCAGCACCTGGCGGAGCAGTGGTAGATGTTTGTTTCCATATCAGGGTTAACTATGAGGAGCCTCTAAAGGGGGGGGGGGAAGGTGGTAACCCTAATTCAGTATCATCATGGTTCAACCCCAGACTTTTAAGAATTAAAAGACCAAACCCCTCTGTGGCTGTCTGGATTGATCAGGTTACTCTTTCTTTGGAAATTTTCGAAATCTTGAATTGTTTTCATCCCGAATAGTAAGAAGTTTACATGTTTTGATTAGATTCTTGTGCAAAATGAATGGGAATACAAATTCTCACTTATCTCTAGCTATGGTTTAATCTGGTCTCCAGTTACCACTCTGTTTTCTTCTCTCTTGCAGCTGGCTTACTGTGTGGTTCAATTCCTGGAAAAAGATGCGACTCTGACCGAGCATGTGAGTTAGCGTTTGCCAAAGAGCAGTGGCATGATGCCTGTGGGTTTGGTAGTGCTGGCCATCCCTGCCTCTGGAGGGGAAGGGGTTGAGTGCAGGGAAAGGCTTTATATCAGACTAAGCTTAAGCCAGTACAGTGGTACCTCGCAAGACAACAATCCCGCTAAATGATGAATCCGCATAACGATGACTTTGTGATCGCTATAGCGATTCGCAAAGCAGTCATTCCAGTGGGGGATTTTCACTTGACAACTATTTGGTCCATGCTTCGCGAACGGTTTGTTCGCAAGATGACGATTTTTACAGCTGATCGTCAGCTTCGCAAAATGGCTGCCATGTGTTTTCCGGACCCATGCTTCACAGGACAGCCATTTTTACAGCTGATCGGCATTTGCAAAATGGCTTCTCTATGGACGATCTTCGCTGGACGACGAGGAATTTTCCCCATTGGAACGCATTAAATGGGTTTCAATGCATTCCAATGGGGAAACGGATTTCGCATGACGATGATTTCGCTAAACAGCTATTTCAGTGGGACAGATTATCGTCATCATGCGGGGCAGCACTGTATCATGTCCTGTACTTACAGCTTGCCCGATGTAATATCCTGTAGATGTGTGGGGCTACCACTACCATCCTCCCTATTTGGTATAGCTGAGGGTAATGGGAAGTGGAAATGGCTGGTCATATCCATCTAACATCCGGTATCAGAAGTCTTGGGCAGAGAAGGGTTTTCTCCATCAGCTACTTTCTTTAACTCAGCACGTTGCCAGGCAGCATGGCCTACTGGTGAATCTGGAAGTGCAGAAGCCCATTGCAATAGCTCCCAAGGGCCTGCTGGCTCAGTCCGTAAGAGTGGATGGAGAGCGGGTCTTTTGCAAAGCCCATGGCTCTTAATTGAACATTTGGGAGCAAAACTACTTTGCATTAGAGGGATTCGTATTCGTGTCTTTTGGACTGTAAGTCCCAGAAATTCACCAGGCAAGCCCCACCCAAGTTTCCTTTTTCTGGAAGCTTTCTTTCTGAGCAAGTCGCCCTGGGAGGAACCACTCCTAGCTAAGCCTCAAAGCCTTTCTCCAAGGTGCACCACGTTCAGGTATTTGCAAGGTGCCTCTAAGGTAGGTAGAATGCACAAGATGGAGAATTACAATATTTGTAGTCTGGAAAAATTTTTAAAAAAATCCTATTCCTAGTGACAGGTGCTGCATAGTCCATGTTAATCAGAAAATCCTGCCGTTTTGACCCCGCCGGCCCTGGCTCCATCATGCCATTGAGGCTGTGGACCAGACCTGGGTGGTTTTCCATGGTAAGCAGGTCCTCTGGCCACCGGACTATCCTCCTTCCCCTAGAACAGGCGCTGTATCTCGTCCAGCCGGCCGGGTACTCGTGTCGACCATCGTTGAGTCCATCTTAGCTGGAGGGCTTTCGTATGACCTTATTGCCTTACTGGAAGATGCTTCTCGATTTTGGGCAGATTCTGTTTCTGCGTATCAACAGAGAGGCTGTGGAGGGGCCCCTTCACCTCTGTTAGGATGGAGGCATAGCAGAGCAGCAGGAGCGACTGCGAACAGGAGCCACCCACACTGGTGCCGGATTAGGTTTCTGACATATTCCTCTTCTCTCCTTCCTTCTGTCCCCATCCACCCCACACCAGGTGATCCGTGGTCTACTGAAATATTGGCCAAAGACTTGCACCCAGAAGGAGGTACGGAAATGCTGTGCTTTTGGGGGGAAGAGAAGATGTTGCTTGTATGAAATAGTCATTAAAGCAGCTGAAGTTTGGGAGATCCAGGTTCAGTCCCCTCCCCTTCCCACAAGACATGGGCGACCCAAGGGCCTGTGTTTTTTTTTTACCCTTTCCCTCTACAGGTTTTGCCTACCTTACAAGGTGGTGGTTGCATCGATAAAATGGGCAGAGGGAGATACACAGGGAGAGTGACATAAAGTAAACAGATCCTATTAGGGCAGGATATCAACATCCTCTTAGCATTGCAGTGCTGGAGGCGGCCCTCTGGATCACCGGGTCCAGCCCCTGTCAAGGAGGCCCCCTGGGGGATTCAAACTCCCAACCTTTAGCTCCATAAATAACTAGCAAACTAGACGGGGTCAAAAATAATCACATTATCTTAGCATTTTAATTTGTTTTCAGTTTTACCTATGTTTCATTTATGTTCCTAATTTTAAATTGTGAATAAAGGAAGGAAGGAATGGGGATACCTAGTAGTGTGAGGTGCTGGGTAGAGCAATGGACTACATCTTTGGAGGCCTGGGTTCAGAACGTCAGCTCAACCATGGAAACACACATGTGCGGGCGGGCGTGGAGAGACTCAAACACACACACCACACTCCCCTGCACATGTTGAAGCTCCCCTGGCAGGCACAATTTGAAGGGCTGCTTCTAACCTATAAAACCCTAAACGGCTTTGGGTCCAAGCTCTCTCAGGGACGGCCTCTCCCTTTAGGAGCCAGCTCAGGTGTTGAGATCATCAGAGGAGGCCTTTCTCTCGGTCCCGCCACCTTCACGGGCGCGTTTGGTTGGGAAATGGGAGAGGAGGGCCTTCTCTGTGGCTGCTCCCAGACTGTGGAACTCCCTCCCACTGGAGGCCAGACTGGCCCTGCCTTTGCTGTCCTTCCGCAAGCAGACAAAGGACCTTTCTCTTCAGGCAAGCTTTCCCTCAGGGACTGACTGCCTGAATGGGATGTGTTTTTTTTTGGTGTTGCTTTTGTTTACCATCTTTTAGTGTGGTATTTGGTCCTTTTTAGTAATTTCCCAGTTTTAGCTTTAAATATTGTCTTTTAATTATGTAAGCTATCTTGAGTCCTTTTTAAGGAGAAAGGTGGGTTTTAAAAAAAATAAGTAAATAAATCAGATCTCACCTGAAGTCTCATAGCAACAAGAAATTTAAATTAAATATTGTCTTTTAATTGTGTAAGCCATCTTGAGTCCTTTTTAAGGAGGAAGGTGGGTTTTTCTTTAAAAAATAATTTAGTAAATAAATCAGTTCTCACCTGAGGTCTCATAGCAACAAGAAATTAAACTAAACAGATAGTAGATAATTAATTTGTCGAGCGTAATACGTGCAACTGCATTTTGTTCCAGCCGCTTGGTGCCTTCCCTCTGTCTAACCCGTAAGCCATCTTGAGTCCTTTTTAAGGAGGAAGGTGGGTTTTTCTTTAAAAAATAATTTAGTAAATAAATCAGTTCTCACCTGAGGTCTCATAGCAACAAGAAATTAAACTAAACAGATAGTAGATAATTAATTTGTCGAGCGTAATACGTGCAACTGCATTTTGTTCCAGCCGCTTGGTGCCTTCCCTCTGTCTAACCCTTTCTCTTCCTTCTATGTGCCTCTCACCTGAGCAGGTGATGTTCTTAGGAGAAATAGAGGAGATCCTAGATGTCATTGAGCCCTCTCAGTTTGTGAAGATTCAGGAGCCCCTCTTCAAGCAGGTGGCTCGATGTATTGCCAGCCCCCACTTCCAGGTACTCCTCATTAAATTGCTTCAACTGGGGAGCCACTCTTCATGAGGGGGAGGGAAGTACATGCCGCCTTGAAGGCAGGCCCTGCTCGAGGTGAGTGAAATGGGGGGGGGGGGTTTGTCTCTGGTTAAAACTCCAGGACATCTGCCTGGGAAATTCTTGGAGAATTTTGGGAGCTGAAGATCCCTAAAACCAAGGATCACATTCCTAGTCGGCCTTGTGTTCTGAGAGATGGGGAGCCATTATTTCTTCTGCCGCATTTCTTCTAAACATGGCCTCCCCCCGTGAGCTGAGCACTCAATTTACCAACCTCTGAAGGGTTGAGCCAGCCACCTGAGCCCCTTGAGATTGAACTCGGATGATGAGCAGAGGCTTGACTGCAGTGCTGCATCTTAACCGCTGTGCCACGAGGCTCCTGCCGCTCCCCTGCCAGCCGGTTTGTCAAAACTGCAGCCTTCCTCTTGGAAGATCTTTGGACCTCTTTATCCAGATCTTTGGACCTCTGTGCTTCCCGACTCCCATCACAATCGGGTTTTAACCATTTCGCCCGACGAAGCGTTTGGGAGAATCGGACAACTTGAACGTTACTATGGAATTGCAGTGGTGGACCCAGAGGGATCGGCGGCCTGCAGATTTTGAATCTTTTTGCTTTTGTCCACCTCGACCTGCAGTTCCCTTGCTGGGCTGGTCAGGATTTCTGGGAGCTGTAGTCCGAGAACACCTGGGGGACCCAAGGGGCGGGAAAGCCGTGCGGTACAAACGGCTCCCCCTCTTTCGTTTTGGTTTTCAAAGTTATCTGTGACGCAGATCCAGTTGCTTGGTCCAAACTGAGTAGACCCCAAAGAATCAATAGGATTTACAGAAGGGTTGACTTAGGGTTACGCCGTTGATTCTGTGGATCTGCTCTGGTTAGAGCCAGCAGGCGGATTGGGGCTCCCTGGGAGTGAGAGCAAGGACTTGTCCCCCCACGGCCCCCCAGCCACGTCTGTGAACCCGTCCTTCTTTCCCCCCACCCTTTGGCAGGTTGCAGAGCGGGCTCTGTATTTCTGGAACAACGAGTACATCTTGAGCCTGGTCGAGGACAACTGCCACACGGTGCTGCCCACAATCTTTGGCACGCTCTACCGCGTCTCCAAGGAGCACTGGAACCCGTAAGTTTTTTCTGCCCGTGTGGGTTGGGAGGCAAGAGGAAAGCAAGGAAAAACCTGGTGGGATGGCGAGGTGCAGGCCAGGTCACTGATGCGCCTCAAAAAAGGAGCGCCCTTCAAAGGGGCCAATGTGCAAGACAAATATTTGCAGAGAACTGCCGGGGGGGAGGAGGAATAGCCAGTTTAATATGCAGGATTGGCACAAAGACATGTGGAACATGGCTATCAATGATAAATGAACATGTGAATCGAAAGTTCGAAAAGAAATATTGAAAACAAATTGTTTTAAGGAGATACAGAATGCTTTCTTAACACACGTATTTGGTAAAAAAAATATATTTCTGGATAGAGATGGGACGTGCAATGTAAAATGCATGCATGCATGCATACACACACACACACATACATTGGTGCCTCGCTTAATGGGTGCTCCGTTTAGCGACGAAACCACATAGCGATTAACTTTGCAATCGCAAAAGCGATCGCATTGCGATGTTTTAAATGGGGTTTTTTCGCTTTGCGATGATCGGTTCCTGGTTTCGCTAACCAATCATCGCAAAGCGATGATTTTTAACAGCTGATCAGCGGTTCCAAAATGGCCGGCTGCTGTGTTTTCGCACGGATTCCTCTCATTAGAGGCAGCGAAAATGGCCGCCGTATGGAGGATCTTCGCTTTAAGGTCAGTTTTTTGCCCATAGGAACGCATTAAACAGGTTTTAATGCATTTTTATGGGCTTTTTTAAATCGCATAGCGACGAAATCGTTTAGCAGCAATTTTTGCTGCACAGATTAACGTCGCTATGCGAGGTACCACTGTACCTACCTACCTACCTACCTACCTACCTACCTACCTACCTACCTACCTACCTACCTACCTACCTACCTACCTACCTACATACATACATACATACATACATACATACATACATACATACATACATACATTCCAAGGGTGGTGGGGAACACTTATTTTGAGTTACGATTGTATTTTAGTTTATGTTTTTGCTGTCAATTTTTGTTTATTTTGTTTTAATATAAAATAAATTTTTTGAGGGAGGGAGGGAAGGAAGGGTCAATGTGGCTTAATAAGGCTTGGGAAATCCTGGCCCTGGTCTGACTCTCCCCGGATGACCTTGGGGTTGGTCATCCTTTCTGCTTCGTATCTACCTCACAAGGTGGTCGTGAGAACCGAGTGGGAAGGAGGGGTGCTCCTCGTCCTGCTCCGATTACTTCAGCAGAAGACATGATTTGAGCGTGTAGCTTAATTAATCAATAAACTCTCTTCTCCCTCTGACCTATGACATGGAAGCACGGCTTTGCATAAACGGGAGGGTCCCTGCCTTATCTAGGCTCGCTGCTGGCTGTTTCCGATGCCTTCTCCCTGTGGTTTGGCCAGGGTCAGTGTAGCTGCTGCAACGGGTAATGTTTTAATCTTTCTCCGTATGTTGTGCCCCCTGTCGCCCAGGACCATTGTCTCTCTGGTCTACAACGTCCTCAAGACCTTCATGGAGATGAACGGGAAACTCTTTGACGAATTGACTGCCTCCTACAAGGTGGAAAAACAGCAGTAAGTGCATTAAGGATGGGTTAGATCTCTTCCACCATCTGGATGTGTTGGACCCCCAACTCTTGTCGTTACCAGACCGCATAGCCCGCAGTCATGCTGGCTAGGGGGTGATGGATAGGAGTTAAATTCGGAGACATGGTGACAGTTGCAGAGATACAGAAGGCAGCTCCTAGCCAGTAAGGGGTGGGATTTTTAAAAAATTTTGTTTTTTGGACTACATGACTCATAATTCTCCGTATTAGGAGTTCTATATCACAGACAAGGCACCTAAATACGGCTCGCCTTGGGAAAAAAGAGTCCATTTCTGGTTCCTGCCACAAGTGCCAGTTAGGTGATTCCTTTCTGCACAAGAAACGAGGTGGGGTGAAATCTAGCTGGGCATCAGAACCTTTGGATTTGGGCCTTTCTTCCCCGATCAGCCACATTGAGGCGTCTGGTCTGTTAAGCGGAACTCCTAGAATGGAGAATTGTGGGAGGCCTAGTTCCAAAAATATGAAAATCCCACTCTTTCTGGGAAAATGCTGAACTCAGCCCCCACCTCCACCCCTGGACAAAGTGGCAAAAAGAAAAGAAAATAATAAGATGAAGTGAAACTTTTTGCTTTACTTTTACTTTTATGGAATTTATACCCTGCCCCTCTAGACAAAGTCTACTCAAAACAAGAGTTTGATGGGGAAGGAAAAGTTGTGAGAACTTGGGCTTAAAATCAGGACGGAGGGGAATAATAGAAATGTCATTTGGACGTAGGGGACACTTCAGAAGAACGGCTCTCTCTAGCAGAGCCCAAAGATACAAAGAACCCATCCGGGGCCGCAATGTTTGCTGGTCCACTTGATGGAATGGCCATTTCTCTGGAGGTGGCCTGGCCCGTGATGGAACCTGTGGGAAGCAGACGCCAATAGGTCGGTTGTTTGGCTCTTGGGCTTATTTCTTTCTGCAAATCCCTTTTAAAGAAACCCCAAGTCACTACATCCTCATCCTACATTTTACAATTGCCCTTTTGCTGGGGTTGTCTGTATGGTTCCCCAACGGTGGTGTCAGACTGCTTGTTTGCATTTGAGAACATGATACAGTATAGAAATAGCGACAATGGGCATGACAGCAATGTCGGAGGGGCTGCGGACCTCGAGCGGCACAACTCAGCCACCGGCAAG